CACCCCAACTAAGAAAGAGATCATTCAAGCCATCAACTCCTTAAAAAATGGGAAAGCTCCTGGCAAGGATAGCTCGAATGCAGAATTGTTCAAGATAAATCCTGAGTTAGCAGCATCTATCCTGGTCCCTCTATTTACATCAGTCTGGGAAAGGGAAAAAAAGTGCCAGATGAGTGGACCAATAGGGTTATAGTGAAGATATCAAAGAAAGAAAGAAACTCTCAGGGATTGTAATAACTGGCATGGTATCACATTTTTATCTGTGCCAAGCAAGGTATTGTGCAAGATCATAATCCAGCATATATCCGAGGCAGTTGATAGTATTCTCCGACAAGAGCAAACTGGTTTTCGGAAAGGGCATGGATGCACAGATCAGATTTTAACTCTACGAAACATAACAGAACAATGCTTAGAATGGGAACGGCAACTCTACATAAACTTAAGACTTTGAGAAGGCTTTTGATAGCTTTCACAGGACCAGCCTATGGTGCATTCTGTGGCATATGGAATCCTTCTCCGTATAATCAACATCATCAAAAACTTCTATTCCAACTTTACATGCACTGTTGATCGCAGTGAGCTCTGTTTTTAGGTCAGAACAGGAGTATATCGGGGTGAGTCATGTTTGCAATCCTTTTCAACATTGTCATTGACTGGGTAATGCGGTGTACAACAGATGATACGCCAAGAGGCATTAAATAGACACCCTTCTCATCCCTTGAAAACCTGGACTTCGCAGATGATCTCGCTCTCCTATCACATTCCCAACACCATATACAAGAAAAAACAACTAGACTCAACACATTCAGCCAGCAAATTGGACTGAAAACCAACCGCAATAAGACTAATATCATGACCTTTAATACTGTCTCACTGTTACCAGTACGGCTAGAGGATCATATTCTCACCAATGTAGAAACATTCACATACTTGGGCAGCACCATCAGCCAGGTCGGTGGAACAAGCCAGGACATCTGGAACAGAATCAGTAAAGCCAGGAACATCTTCAGGAGCTTAAATACAGTCTGGAAATCATCAAAATACAGCACCAAAACCAAACTCAAGATTTATCAGAGCTGTGTACTTTCAACACTGTAGTGCAGCATGCTAGGGAAATGAGAAAGTACGACCTGTCCAAACTGTCGTCTTTCCATACAGTCTGCCTCAGAAAAATCCTCTATCTTTTGGCCCAGAACAATCTCAAACGAAGATCACACAGTGCAGTCAAGAAAATATGAACGTCATCATTCCCAGGAGGCGTTGGAGATGGATTGATCATGTGTTTTAGCAATAAGATGGACACCTGAAGGCAAGTGAAAACAAGGCTGCCCAAAAACAACATGGGCGAAGAGCTGTAGAAGCTGAGCTGAAAAATCCTGGGGCACAGAGGGGGAACCATTGAAAGACTTGCCAGAAACAGATAGGAATGGAGGAGCTTAGTCGCTGCCCTAAATGCCAGAGGCGTAATGGGAACGATGATAATAGTTGGTTGACTGATGAGCATGAGGCAGTCTGGGCAAGTCATATCACTTTGTCTACTAAGCTCCCAGTAATACTTGTAAATCAGTTGTGTACTTCCATTGGTATGATTTCCTTTTACCTTTTGCCCAGAAGGTTAGAGCTAATAGTTTCATCCTTAGATTTATAGATGCTTCCACAGTGACTGTTTGCAGCACACGCACTAATGATGTTGTTGGCCAGCAGTTCCAAGTTTCTAAGAGTTGTTTTTGAGGGTGAATCAAAAGGTTGGCATCTGTAGTCTAAAACTGGATTAAAGCAATACTCAATACATCATCATCATCAGTACCTTCTTATCGGCATCCCATTTGTTTCCAGCTATGCTTTTAAGTACGTTCATCCTACTTCTGTACATTTGTATGATTATCTATGTGACCTTTCCAAATTAATTTAATAACAAACACTACTCCTAGGAACATAAGCTTTTGAACTGATTTTTTTTTCACCGTAAAGAAATAAATCCCAGTCTTCCCTTTTTTTCTTCCTGGTTGAAAGCATTCGCTTAGTTTTTGCAAGCGAGAATTTAAATCCCCAATCCCTTCCCCACTTGGAAATCCTCTGGAGTGCCTCATTATCTTTCATATGGTTACTTTTAGTATTTATACTTAGTCCATATAGCACAGTCATCTGTGAAAAGGGAAATACTTATTCCCATCTGCACAATTTCTGGGAAGTTATTTATCATAATGGAAAACAAAATAGAGCTAATAATACTCCTTGTGGAGTTCCATTTGTAAGCATGTAGGTTTTTGATAAAGCTGTTCCCACTTTGACTTGTATAGTTCCATCACTTGAAAAGTCCCTTCGCCACCAAAACATTCTCCCTTTTATTTCAATTTTGGCTAATTTATATTGGAGGCCTTCCCTCCATAGCATGTCATATGCTTTTTCAGTGTCCAGGAAGACCGATATCATAAAGTTCTTAGTTCTTTATGCTTTTTTGTACCTCCATTTCTAATCTCACTATATATGTTCAACCATGTATCTTCCTTTTATGAAACTACTTAGTACTGTACAGTATCATTTTTATCCAAGTATTCCACTAGTATAATTTTTTACCATGATTTTCCCCACACATGATGTGAGGGCAAACTGAACTGCAGCTCCTTTATCTGAGCTGCTGAGCTCTGATTGGCTGTCACTAGTATTTCTAGCCCTTGAAGGACCTGGTGTCTCTAGCTTTTAGGATGAGTGCTCCAGTGAGGTGTCTCTAGGTAGGCCTGGAGGACCCACCTTTGTTGCTCTTTTCATTCTACCTTGCTGCTAGGGCAGGGTGTAGTGGAGAAGTATGTCCTCTAGAGAGGCTACGAAGGCCTGGTGCATCCCATCACAACCAGATAGTTATTTTTTTCTCTTACCTTCTTCCAGAACTTAAGATCAATAAAGAGCATATTCCTCAAGAATGGTAACAGTCACATAGCACAACTAGATTCAATCCTGAATGACTAAATCAAATTATATGTTTTTATTTTTAAGTCCATTAGAGAAAATATCGGTAAGAAGATTTAGAAGATAATGCATGTTATTTACAATCCTATTTCTAGGCCCTGGTGAAAACCCTTAGAAATCTTAGTTACAAAAGAGAAATATTAGATGACATCAGATAGTTTAGCCAGATATTACCGTATAGAATCTCCTGGTCTTTCCAGATTCTGTCTCATGCTTTCTGTGGGGAAAATACATTCATAGTTTTTAAAATTTATTTATTCATTTATTTTTAAGACTAGAAGGGATCATTATCATCTAATGTGATCACTGGCATTGACAAACATCTGTAAGCACTGTAGTGCTGGTAGGAATAACATGCCATAGAATGTCACCCAGTAATTCCTACATCAAGCCCATAACTTCTGATTGAGCTACAGCATATTTTCTAGAAAGACATCCAATTTTGATTTAAAGACTTCAAGGGCAAAAATCCACCATATTCTTAGGCAAGTTGTTCCATTTAATTACCCTCACTGTTAAAACTTTGCACCTTATTTCTAGTTGAACTTGTCTAACTTCAACTTCTATACCTTGGATCTTCTAATGCCTTTTTCTGCTACAGTAAAGAGCCCTCTACTATCACTCTTCTCCCCATGTAGGTTCTTGCAGACTGTGATTGAGCCATCTTTTACTTTTCTGTTGGATAAAGTAAATAGATAGGTTTCTATAGTCTCTCACTGTAGGACAGGCTTTCTAGACCTTTAATCATTCTTGTTGCTCTTTTCTGAACTCTTTCCAGTTGGTCAGCATCCTTTTTAAAGTGTGTACATGAGAACTGGACCAGTATTCCAGTAATAGTCTCACTAATGCCATATACACTGTTAATACCACCACCTTACTTCTCAGTATTCCCCTGCTTACGCATCCAAATATCACATTAGTTTTCTTAGATCTGGTCTATACTACATCTATCAATAGACCTACATTGCTCAGGTCAGGGTTGTGGATTTTTCAACCTCTGAGTGATGTAGTTATACTGACCTTCCCTCCCTGTAGACAATGCTATGTCAGCAGGACAGCTTCTCCTGCCAACACAGTTAATCCACTCCCTGAGAGGCGATAGCTGTGCCGATGGGAGAGCTCTCTCCCATCGTCTTAGAGAGTCTTCATTAAAGCACTACGGGGCACAGTTGCATCGGTGCAGCTTATGCAGCGTTTTAAGTGTAGATTTGCCCTTAGTCACAGCATCAAATTGGGAACTCGTGTTCAATTTATTATCTATCATGACCTCAAAGTCCTTTTCAGAGACAGTTTTCCAAAATACAGCACCCCCACCCCCCAAAATCCTGTAATTGTGACCTATATTCTTTGTTCCTAGATGAACTACCTTGCATTTGGCTGTAGGAAAACCAATGTCTTCATCTCTTAAGGCTTGTACACACTAGTGCTTACTTCGGTATAACTTCAGTAGCTCAAGGCTATGGAAAAGCCACCTCCCTGTGCAACAGAAGTTACACTCACCCTAAGCACCAGTGTGGACAGCGCTGTGTCAGCGGGAGAAGTTCTTCTTTTGACACAGCTACCACCATTCAGGGAGGTGGATTAATTATGCCGATTGGAGAGCTCTCTCCCCTGAGCATAGAGCGTCTGCACTAGTAGTGCAGCTACATCAATACATCTGTGACGCTGCAGCAATTCTACTGTAGACTAGCCCTTAGTCAGTACAGGTTTCCCATCTGTACAGTGAGGATAATAGTGCTTTCCTTCCTCACAGGGGTGTTGTGAGATAAATACATTAAAGATTTTGAGGCAACTCGGATGCTCTGGTAAAGGAGGATCCTATAATTACTGGAGAGAGAGATGATGGCAAAATAAATAAAAATATCAAGTGGGGGGGGCTTTTGAGTTTTTAGAGGAAAACGGTTATAGGTGTTAAATGATCACTCTTGAAATCATTTTCATTGTGCATTTCATACTTGGGGTTTTTTTTAAAAGAAATTGCAAACAAAAAATCTAACTTTATTTTCTGATCTTTTTACACTTTCTTTTTAAAGGTTATCAATTGGCAAACAGCTCTTCACATCCCACCTCAAGCTAAATTGACTCCAGAGGCTTCTGACCTTATTATCAAACTCTGCCGAGGGCCAGAAGACCGCTTAGGCAAGAATGGTACAGATGAAATAAAAGCTCATCCATTTTTTAAAGCTATTGATTTTTCAAGTGATCTACGACAGCAGACTGCTTCATATGTTCCTAAAATTACACATCCCACAGACACATCCAATTTTGACCCAGTTGATCCCGATAAGTTATGGAGTGATGATAAGGAAGGGAATGTAAATGACACACTTAATGGGTGGTACAAAAATGGGAAACATCCTGAACATGCTTTTTATGAGTTCACATTTCGAAGGTTTTTTGACGACAATGGCTACCCATACAACTACCCCAAACCCATTGAATATGAATACAATAATCCACAAAACTTGGAGCAGCAATCAGATGACGATGATGAGCAGGCAGGCAAAGGGGTTCAAAATCGTGATCTAGTTTATGTTTAGCAGAGAAGTTGAAGATATTTGAACCGTGTGTTTTGAAGTTGGGATTTTTCAAAAATCCCCTGTGATGAGAGAATTAACATAAGATTGCTTGGGTAAATATATGCACACTTTATTAAAAAAAAAATTACTATTACAGAGTTCTGTATTTTTGCTTTCTGTACATTTTGTTTCCCCAAAATGCAGGGAAATCATTTTAAAACGTTAATTTATTCCAGCATTATTAATCATTAATTTAGAAAAGAATTTGTTAGGAAAAATAAATTATGAACTGAGTTATATGATCAGTTCTTTGTACTTTAAGTACTCAATATAGGAAATAGTGATTTCTTAAAAGGAGATGCCTGTTATCTATTTGTACATAGGCTAAATATTTTTTTTTAAATCTTTGTTCCAGACTTAAACAGTTCTGCCTTGCTTTGACCAAATATAAATCTTATCATACACTTACAAAACTGATACCTCTCTGATACAAGGCTGCTGTACCGTGGCTTCTCACAATATCATGCTCCATTGTTAGCAAAATTAAGCCTGTTTGGTAAGTAATTCCCAGTTAGTACAGCTTTGAAAATAGGAAGCATCAGTCTCTGTTGTAATGTGACTATAAATAGTTAAAAAAAAACTTAGGGTTTTTATTTATATTTAACTTAAAATTATATTGAAAGCTATAACTAGATTTAGGGCACTGTGATACCTAAAACTAGTAATAGTATTTACTTAGTAGCAATTTAACTCTCTCCCTGTCAGCCCCCCTTAAAGATGTGGGAGGAATAAAGCTTTAGAAAAAAATAGCCTGAAATCTGCTCTAACTTCATTTTTTGACTGAAGCCAAACTGTACTGTCTCTAAAACTGTGTTCCAATCAGAATAGTTATAGCTTGAAAAATTGTTTTTAAAATGGTTCTATTTCTTGCTCCAGCCTTTCAGTTGGTTATGAGGAAGGATTGAGAGTATGATACATGGCTTTCATTAGGCTTTTGTGCTGCGAAGACCAGTTTTATGTGTCAAACCGTAACCAGTGGGAAACACTGCTGTGCGTGTACCTGGGAACAAACAAGTTAAGCTGTTTGTTTCCCCCTTGTTACATTTGTGTCATTGACAGCTTAATTCAAAGCAGATTTACCTCTGTGGTGTTTGATACTGCGATAGCAGATGCATATAATTCTGAATACTGGTTTCATGGCATTCAAGCAGCAGCTGAGCAGAAGTTCTAGTATCACAGCCTTAAGATGCAAAATTAATACGCCTTTTGTGATGCTCAGAGGGGAACACACCACTAAACAGCTGTCCCACTCACAAGACCAGCAGTTGTTTCAGGTGTGGAAAGAGAGAGCAATGCCCCTCGATCCCATAGCCAGCAGTTTTTTTGAGGGACAGAGGGAAATGCAAGTTGTTTTAAATAAATAAATAAACAAACATACTTTGAAACAACCACAGTTTCCCCACTCCTGGGTTGAAGTCCCATCTGTTAATATCAATCAGACATTTTTAACATCAGTGTGTCTTGTTTACTCCGATCATGCAGGTCATTTTACTAGTATTCTTGCTCCCTAAGCATCATGAAACCACACTCAGCGCTGGTATCACAGCAGTGTAAAGAGTACGTGCAGTACCACTATGATGCTATCATGAAAAATGTCTTTTAAAAATAATTTTAAGAAGAGAGTCCTGTTTTTATGGATGTTTACTTATCTTTCTGTTTTGAAGCATCTATCATGGTGAAAAGATATTTATGTAAAAATATGCATTCCTTATAATAAAAAAATAGCTATTTATCTATAGTCTCAATAGGACATGAATCAGTAAAACACAATTCAAGTCCTGTATGCCTGTCTTAAAGAAAGCTGTTCTGTCTCAACATTTCTAAGATCTATAATGTTTAGCTTCAACATTATAAAATGGATGCAATATAGAAATACTTCAGCTTTTTATTTTTGTTTATAAAAATAGGCTTTTATTTCACAGTAAATAATCATTTAAAGGACTGTCTTCATTCATAATGTTGGTAAGTGTCCCAGTAAAACTGGTAGTTTTAATCTCCTTTACTTGTCCTGCAGTAAAGTGTAATATATTGCTAGTTAAAACCAGTTTAATCAAGTGAGCATTATTTGTGGGCATGTAATAAATAAAACTTCCTTAGACAATGTTGTCACCTTTTAATTACAAATACAATTTTTATAATTGATTATCTGAGCATATTTCTCCTTTCCCAGTCCATCAGGATCTAGACTTGTGATTGGTCTTAGTCAAACAGTGATGGGTTTAGCTGAAGAAAGATGTCCTTTCCAAGGCACTTCCATTCTATATAAGGAAGTTAAATCCAAAAGGAATTTCTATTAAACCAAAATAATTGATATTTTAAGCTAATATGCATGGTACTGAAATATGAGATACCGCTCTGCCATTTTGAAACACTTAAATATACATGTCTTGAAAAACTGGTAGTATTTCCAGTTTTTCTATTATCTACCATTAAATTTCTGATACTCCTAATTTCTGAAGTTGCAGTCTAAATGCTGCAGTACTCCATAAATGTATTTCTCTCCTGGATCTCCCAGCGCATTATAGCGCTAAGTCTCATAGACTCATAGACTTTAAGGTCAGAAGGGACCATTATGATCATCTGGTCTGACCCCCTGCATGCTGCAGGCCATAAAACCGTCCCTACCCCTTCCCTGGACTCTGCTGCTGAAGTCCCCAATCCTGTCCTGCTCTGGGAGAACAGAAAATATCCTCATAAACAATTGTGTTATCTCAGCTCTCCAATGTATTGCCCTGCGCCCATGTGTGAAACTCTCACTGACTACAGAAGTAGTTCCAAACATGGATCCAGGACATGCTGTGACCTTTAGTGTCTACTGTTTACAATATTGATATTTCAGTCCTTCATAAATTTTGCTCTAGAATTTTCTGGGGCATTGAAATTCAGATTGATCTTTGATCGGACTAGTTTATATTGACAACAGAGGAGAGATGCTTAAAACCAGCAGCTGTGAGATTGTATAATCACAGTTTTAGTTTAGATTTCTTGAAAATATTTTCAATTGTAAAGAATTAAAATGAGTCATTGTCTTTTATTGCCTCATGTATACATATAAATTGTATTTATAAAATGTTCTGTAATCATGTAACTATTGTAAATACTGTTCTGATGTATTGTTCAGTGATATTCTATCCTAGGGCAGGCCCTCTTGCTGTATCTTTTCTATCTTCATATTTCTAATAGAATCAATAGAATGTATGACTAGAAAGTCATTTTGAGACTGACTTAAAAAAAATCTTCTGCTGTTGCTAATTGCAAAGCTGAGAGTGGGTATGATTTATTTGGACTTAATTTTGTTTAGTTATTAGCTAATGCAGTGGTTGGGTTCTTAGATGCTGCTGCTGCTGCTACCATTACCCTACATACCATATGACTCAGTTCCAAATGTTGTTGGCATTTAAAATCAGACATTTAATCTGTTTGCTTTAATTCAACCAAAGCAAAGAGAGAACAAATTTCAGTCAACATAATGGTAAAAATGTTGAGTGTCTTAACATGCTTTTGAGCAAAGGCACTATTCAAGTTTACTATTGTATTGCGTGTGTATATATGTCTTTTGTATGATAAATGTTCGTTGACAAAACACTACAATTTTATAAAATGACACTAGATTAAGAGAAGGAATTGCAGCCTTCGTAGACAATATGAATCATCTTTGCATACTTCTGAATGTAACAGCTGTTGGTAATCAGTGACATTCCCTATAACTGTTTTATGAATGTTTCATTTTTCTCAATCAGTTTCTCCAGGGTAATATCTGCTGGGATAATAAAGAATAAAGTACAGTAAATCTTTTTCCTTATAAATGGTAAATAAATTCTGGTTCTACTAATCAAATACAAGTTAAAAGTTTAAATTGTTCAAAAGTTGTTGGTCTTCCTCTGTTCTCTTAAATCTGTGCAAATGGCTGTACTTGGACATTAGTTTCTGATCTCTATCCTAGAAGTTCTGTACCTCAAGTCACACAATAATTGTAATTCGTCATTCTTCTTTCTCTCCCCCCCCCCCTCCCCAATCAAATGATTAAAATGGCCCTGCTCAAGATCTACTTATTCAGTGGACAATGAATGGATATGCAGTCTGTATAGACTGTACATCATGGACAACTACTTCATAAATTATTGCTTTTCTTGGAGATCTAGATGAAGTGCAGCTCTTAAGTTATGAAAATCCATTCCTAGCATAAAAATGCTATTCAAATATAGGACATTGACTTTTTCTTTGATAGGCTTCAGTTTAAAGTGCATATCTAAAAATGAAAATAGGTGCATAAATCCATGCTTTACTAAAGAGATATGTTACATGCTAGCTCCTCTACCAGACTTGGACCTCTTGGGCTTGAAATAAAATATAGTGATAGTTTTGATGTTCTTGAGGGGCGAGTGACCATGTGACAGTTAAAACAAGAAACACACAGACTTTGCAAAGGAACTTTTTGAACATACCGACATTTTACTCTCAGAAGTATAAAAGATTTACAGATCTATTGAAAAACAACAAACATCTAAATGCAAATCCTGCCTCCGGCCGATCTCACCCCTCTGGTTTGGGTCTGAGATCTGTCCATGTTCAGCATAGGTGAAGACTCCATTGTCTCCTATGCAGCAAGTTCTTGCTGCTGGTGATAGCTGGCCCCTACACACAAGTTCTCTTACTTATATACACCGCCTTGGTCCTGTTCCAGCTAGGTTGAAGTTCACATACTCAACCCCTCTTGGTTCACAGGGAGGGCCTGGTAAACCAAGACATATCATTAGCAAGTCAGTAGTCCTTAGGATCAGTCTGGATGGGTCATTCTGTGGGAACTGGGCTTATTTAGTTTGCAGAAGAGAAGAGTGAGGGTGGATTTGATAGCAGCCTTCAACTACCTGAAGGGGGGTTCCAGAGGATGGAGCTAGGCTGTTCTTTGTGGTGGCAGATGACAGAACAAGAAGCAATAGTCTCAAGTCACAGTGGGGGCGGTGTAGGTTGGATATTAGGAAAAACTAGTTCACTAGGAGGATGGTGAAGCACTGGAATGGGTTACCTAGGGAGGTGGTGGAATCTCCATTTTTGGAGGTTTTTAAGGACCAGCTTGACAAAGCCCTGGCTGGGATGATTTAGTTGGGGTGGTTCTGCTTTGAGTAGGGGGATGGACTAGATGACCTCCTGAGGTCTCTTCCAAACCTAATCTATGATTCTAAGAAAACAAAATGGAATTCATAAAATGACATTCCCAAACCCTCACACAGGTTCCTTCCATTAATTTTAGAGGTGCTTTGTGCTGGTCTTGCATATCTTAGTGAAGAAATCCAGCAGAAGAGAGGAATGTAAGGGCTCCGCTCTGAAATGTGTATTTGAATTTAAAAAATTGTTTTGACATGTTTTGTTCTAAGAAAATAATTTAAATTGGTATGTAAAGAAACTGGAGAATGGTTGGGGGGCTGCTAAAGGGAACAGAACACCCTTGCTCCTGACTGCAACTTTAGCAGGGTCCTGTCTACGCATGTTTTGTGCACTTAGATTTATATTGGTTAGAAACTTAGCTCAAGCAAAATCAAAATATAGCACTCAAACTTAAATAAGTATCTGCTTTAGGGGATTGCACTGATTTAATTAAATCAGTTTGCTTGCATTTAGCTAAATCAATGCAACCAGCCCTATGGCTCCTGCGTGAAGCTGGAAGTACTATAGAGAATGATAGAATTACATAATTATTCCTTTACATTTAGGACATCGTGGACAAAAGAAATTTTGGGGGATTAGTAGGAGTGTGAGCATGGCTCACAACTTTGTCACATCACTTAAAAAGTTTTAAAGTAGAGATTATTCTACTGGGCCTTCAATTTCAGGGAGTCCAACCAGATTCCTAGTAGTGAGGACAAATGGAGCTTGATGCAGCACTTCCAGATGGACTTCCTGACCTAAAGTGCAGAGCAGGCACAGCTTGTATGGTATACCTTGAGTGGCAAACAAGGCACATTACCTCAGGCTCCATGTATCTTGCCCCCCCAAACAACAATGGGGGAAAAGGTCAGAAGGATACATCACACATGCAGACACATTGTATATAGTTTTTCACACGCTTATAATTTTTCAAATTCCCTTCTTCCTAAATAAGTATGTATTCCAATGATTTAACAATTTAAACCATTACGATGTAATTTTATTGCCATTCAGTCTGACTTGATTAAAGGGACACTGCCAGGTTAAAAGTGATGTCTTCTAAAAGACAAATGCTCTTGAATTACTCATATATTAGATTAATAATGCTAATGATTTTCAAAACAACTTTTTATTATTTATATTTATGTATGTTACTCCACAGGAAATTAAAAGGATTTAATTCTGCTTTGATTTATAGTAATTTTCTAGTAGATTTCACTTTTAGGTTCTAATGCACTACCACAGTGCTTGAATGCTCAGTAAGATAGTTAAAAATATCCATTGTATTTTGTTATGAATATTTGTATTTGTCTTGGACAGCATAAACATTTTTTTTTTAAACTAAAGCCCAGTCCTAGAAGGAACTGAGAGCGTGTGTGAGAGTGTGCCTATGTTCCCTTATCAACTGTTTTTGAAGTCCAGGCTAAATCTAAAGTGACAGTTCCCCTTTAAACAGAAACATTTAAAAGAGCCTCAGCTGCCCTAACTGAGCCAACTCTGCCACAGATGGCAGAACAAGTGAAAGCCATGTCAGCAAAAATATGGTCACCTTGATCGATCAGCCCTCGTATAGATTGCGCCGATCACATGTCTTCCATTCTTCTCATATCCTGGCCTTCCTTCTCCATGTGCGGCCATGTCTTTTCACGATAAAATCTTCTCATCTCTTTGGAGGTCGGCTGAGTGGTCGTTTCAGTTCCCGGCATGGGTACCACTTGGTGAAAGCTGCAGTCCATCAATTGTCAGTGAGCCTCGCTATATGCCCGGACAATCGCATTTTACTATGCCTGCTCTCAACAGCGACGTCCTGCACTCCACTCTGCTGTCTCATCACTTCATTGGGGACTCGGTCACGGATTTAAATCCCCAGAATTCTTCTTTCCATCACCCTCTCCGTGACAGACAGTTGCTGCTCCTCTGTCTTCATCAGCGCCTATGTTTCGCTGCCGTACAACGTTGCTGGCAGTACTGTTGAGCTGAAGAGGCTGGCACGAGTTGCCTTGTTGATTTTTCCTTCAAGGACGTACTTGATAAGAATTGAATGCACACCAACCTGCTTTCTTTCTTCGCAAGAGTTCACCTTCCTGATTGTGGCACATGTTAATTTCTTGGCCCAAATAGACATATTGCTCAACCTAAAAATGTTCAACTTGATTTGTTTTTGAGGGTAACAGGCAGACATTTGTTGATTTCTTTAAAGCAAGTGACTACCCCCACACTCTCCGCTAGCAAAATGAGGGCCCGCTTTAAGGACTAAAGCTACTGCCCACACCACATTTTGGGATGCCAAATCCTTCGTTTTGAGGGTGGGGTTTTTTTTTGCTTACATGATTTGGGGACAGGTAGATGCCAAAAAAGTTTTCCCCTATAGCAGTGGTTCTCAAACTTTTGTACTGCTGACCCCTTCCACATAGCAAGCCTCTGTGTGTGACCCCCAATAAATTAAAATCATGTTTTTATTTATTTAACACCATTGTAAATGCTTGAGGCAAAGTGAGGTTTGGGGTGGAGGCTGACAGCTTGTGACCCCCCCCCCCATGTAATAACCTTGCAACCCCGAGGGGTCCCAACCCCCAGTTTGAGAACCCCTGCCCTATAGACAATACAATACCTAGTACTAGCCCTGAGTACGTTACTGTCAGCCAAAGCTAGCCCTTACTAATTTGCCCAGGGCTTGCTTTGAAGAGTTGCATGGGGAGAACACAGCTGACTAAGTCTCTCTGTTGGCATTGGTGGTTCGATGATAGTCTTCTGGCCCGCAAGGCGGGAAGTTTGGGGTCGAGTCCTGGCCTGTGCAGTTATGAATATCTTTTTGATTCGCAAGAGCGAGGGGAGCCAAGATTCTGTTTGTTGTTCTCTGCTCAGTTGCCCCACGGACGGGCGATTGCAGACCCCGGGAAGGGAGGGGGACGCGCCACGCGCTGACAGCGGAGACCCTCCCAGGCCCCTAAGGTGGGGTCCAACCCAGGCCCCACAGCCCATACACTGCAGCAGGGAAAGTGGGCGCGCCGCGCAAGGCTTCCAGGAAGTGACGCAGGCAGATTTGCCTTCGAACGGGCCACAAAGGAACGCGGCAGCTGCGGGGGGCGGGGTGGTGGGAGGGGCTAAGGCCGAGGGGGGGGCCGCGAAGAGGGAGAGAGAGAGTGGCGGCGGCGGCGCCGTTACGGAGCTGACGGAGCGCGCTGGAGACA